TGACAACCATCTTCCGCTGTATACAAACAAACTTTGCCAATGATTAATATTCGTTGAAAATTGTGTCAGTGGTGGAGTGTTCATTCTAAATCATATGAATTGCTTTTTCGCGGAGTCGCTTAATCTCCCACGAGGCATCATTATTCCGTCTTCAAAATATGACAACGTCGAGGTCAATTCAAGAGTAGAGGTCAATGACGCGGGAAACCCCATTTGAGAGTTACTTCCCCTTGAAAATTACACCGGATTTCCTAGACTCACGATTTGAAAATCGCTTAATGGATGTATTAAGCGTTTAATAATTAATTACTTGATTTTGCGGATTATAGAGTGATTTTGATGTATAGTTAGGACACCAGGTAAGTCCACTGATGAATATATACTGTTATTGGCCAAATTTGAGCAAAATTAAAATTGTATGTTCATCCTAAGACGTAGCATCCCTTTAACTTATGTAGATCTGATAGCATTGTAAGTCAATACAGTGTTTATAAAGTTTACAAAGCTAAAGGTCCAGGGATCAATCCCGGCATAGGTAGAGATTTTATTTCAACCAGTTGAACCCTGTCACTGGTGCAGATCGGAGGGACAGATAAAGAGAAGCGTCTAGTCGGATATAACGATTGTTTTCTCAACGTTGGTAATGTTACATATCATTTAACAGTTGTCTTATTTTCTGATTTTATTAGATGTATTGTCTCCCTTTACAGTTGTACCGTCTGTAGTTGAATCTACCTTCTGATTGCAGTATATGGACCAACTCCACTATAACGTACGAATGTAGGCCGTGCTATGAAATCTTCTATATCTTTCCCTTTCACATTTGGAATTTGAAGTTTGAAATTGCATTTTCTTTCAGGTTTTTGTGTGATGGTGAGAGATTTACACGCGGAAGGATTATTTTAAAAATAGTCGGATTGTGTGCACTGAGAGTCAGGCGGATGGACACACTCCGGTATTTCATGTGCCATCTGTTTCCATGTTAATTCTCAAAATTCAACCTTCTATAACTCCAGAAATCTCGTTGAAAACTTTCCAATATTTCACATGAAAGACTGGCCAATGCTTGATTTCTTCACAAAAATTCAATAAATCATGACTATGAAAATCTTGAACTAGTCAAAATGAAAGTAGACCACTACATTTGACACTATATATTGTTACATCATTGTCGTCAAGCAGGTGGTTCTTCTGGTGTTTGTAGTCGAAGTAATGAGATGGGTCGGCCGTCAGAATTTTTTCTGCAATCTTTTATTCGGAGGATCACTGTTCCGCTTGCTCCTGTAGATACGAGCCTAATCTATTTGTCATTTTATTACAGGTCTGATCTTATTTCTCATTTTATTACGGAGTTGATCTTATATGTCATTTTATAACGGGTCTGATCTTATTTGTCCTTTTATTACAGATCTGACCTTATTTGTCATTTTATTATGGGTGTGATCTTATTTGTCATTTTATTACGGGTCTGATTTTATTTGTCATTTTATTACAGGTCTGATCTTATATGTAATTTTATTACAGGTCTGATCTTACTTGTCATTTTATTATGGGTCTGATCTTATTTGTCATTTTATTACGGGTCTGATTTTATTTGTCATTTTATTACAGGTCTGATCTTATATGTAATTATATAACGGAGTTGATCTTATTTGTCATTTTATTACGGGTCTGATCTTATTTGTCATTTTATTACGGGTCTGATCTTATTTGTCATTTTATTACGGGTCTGATCTTATTTGTCATTTTATTACGGGTCTGATTTTATTTGTCATTTTATTACAGATCTAACCTTATTTGTCATTTTATTACGGGTCTGATTTTATTTGTCATTTTATTACAGATCTAACCTTATTTCTCATTTTTTTACAGGTCTGACCTTATTTCTCATTTTAATACGGAGTTGATCTTATTTCTCATTTTATTATGGGTCTGACCTTATTTGTCTTTTTATTACGGGTCTGATTTTATTCGTCATTTTACTACAGATCTAACCTTATTTCTCATTTTATTACGGAGTTGATCTTATTTGTCATTTTATTACGGGTCTGATCTTATTTGTCCTTTTATTACAGATCTGACCTTATTTGTCATTTTATTACAGGTTTGATCTTATAATATGAAATTTTATTATAGGTGTGATCTTATTTGTCATTTTATTATGGGTCTGACCTTATTTGTCATTTTATTACGGGTTTGATTTTATTTGTCATTTTATTACAGATCTGACCTTATTTCTCATTTTATTACGGGTCTGATCTTATTTGTCCTTTTATTACAGATCTGATCTTATTTGTCATTTTATTATGGGTCTGACCTTATTTGTCATTTTATTACGGGTCTGATTTTATTGGTCATTTTATTACGGGTCTGAATTTATTTGTCATTTTATTACAGGTCTGACCTTATTTCTCATTTTATTACGGAGTTGATCTTATATGTCATTTCATTACGGGTCTGATCTTATCTGTCCTTTTATTACAGATCTGATCTTATTTGTTATTTTATTACGGGTCTGATCTTATATGTAATTTTATTACAGGTCTGATCTTATTTGTCATTTTATTATGGATCTGATCTTATTTGTCATTTTATTATGGGTGTGACCTTATTTGTCATTTTATTACGGGTCTGACCTTATTTGTCATTTTATTACAGGTCTGATCTTATGTGTAATTTTATTACAGGTCTGATCTTATTTGTCATTTTATTATGGGTTTGACCTTATTTGTCATTTTATTACGGGTCTGATTTTATTTGTCATTTTATTATGGGTCTGATCTTATTTGTCATTTTATTACGGGTCTGATATTATTTGTCATTTGATTACAGATCTGATCTTATTTGTCATTTTATTACGCGTCTCATCTTATTTGTCATTTTATTACGGGTCTGATTTTATTTGTCATTTTATTACAGA